AACACCTGACTTATTATCTTTTCAAATGCACATTCTTACATTTTTGTTAAATTTATTCATTATATTTATGATTTACCATGTTTTTGGAAAACCATAATCTACTAGTAAATGGTGTTTTATTGTTGTTACTGCTTATTCAGATCAGTGAATAATATTGACGGGCTATTTCCAGCATGTTGGCCAATATGATTGTAGATCTTGATTAAGATTAATGCAAAATAATGACGTAGAGACGAGTGGAATCCAGCTATACAGCAATATACTGTATATGAAATAATGGAAATGTTTTCTGTCAAAGCATTAACTGGAAAAATAGGCAGATAACTTAAAGGTGCATTGTGTAACTTTTCTGGTGGAGGATCCGTCAAATGCTTTTCTCCATGGAGATGTTATTGCGTTGTCTGGAATGCTTTACGGTATTGTATTAAGCTTTTTTATCTTCATGAAGACCAAACCAGATGAAGTTACTAGTCAAATCTGAGGAAAGGCAACCCTGCTCACAGTCAGAATGCCTGTTTTTTCCAAGGTATTTTTGAGCTATAAATGAGCTGTAATTTAATAAATGTAAGGTAGAGCTGTTTAATATACTGTGGAACATTCTAGACAAAGCAAGGACATACCCATAGAAACAAGCAGGTGACAGATCTCCAACCAAAAAGTTAAGCAGTGCACCTTTAAGATTGCTTTTTTCATTGCTTCTTTTCATTCATGTTTTTGTCTCTTTACAACATTGTTGCCTTTTATATTTTATGAATGAAATAAATCAATATTCCTTCTGTATTTATTGTATGAATCTACTGTTGCCACATGACTACAAATATAATAGTATTCTGTCCATTGCAGCCTTGTTCACTGTCTCCATGAGGTGATTTCCTGCAGAGGAAATGTATAATCTGTTGTGAATCTGGAAGCTTCGCGTTTCTTAATTTGATCCTTTGCTTGTGTGTCCTTAGCCCCCTGCACGTCGCCCGTCGTGGTTGGCTGCTCTTGTGCATCATAAGCCACGTGCTCTGTGTTTATCATCAGGATGGAGGGACAACGTCACTCCCTCTCTCTCCTTTTTGTCTGGTGCACCCACAGACATCAGGCTGCTGCATACACTCCACGGGCAGCTCTGAGCACAGGCACAGAATACCACAGCTCCAGCTCTACTCACTCCACTGAAGGTATGTACGCCTCATCTTTGTAACGCTACGCCCTAGTCTCTGTCTAATAGAGAATGTCATCATTGCGGATTTATCTAAATGATCGTGTAGAATGGACAGATGAGCTGGGAGGGGGAGGATGCTAAAATGAGGAGAGCGATGTTGGCATATTGTGAGAGAGAAGACTGTTGCTCTGTAGGCTTTGTACTCGACATTGTACTTCACCTCCCACCACCCCTGTAGTCACGCGCACACAAACATCTCCCCGTCTCTGCAGCCCGTGAATAGGATTCGACAGGTTGGATTTATTGACCCAGTTGGAGATATAGTGCTCTATTGACTGTACGTCGGAGGAGGTGATGGAAGTGTGCCCACAGACAACAAAAAAAACAAAACTCTTCCTTCCAACTGCCTAGTGCCAGTTCATGACCGTTACAGCTATAAATACTCAGCATGACATATCAAAGTTGGTATGAAATAGCTCTGATAAAAGATACAATGAAAATGTGAAACAAAGGAGCAGAGGAGAAAGGCTCCAGGCTGAACTGACATTGAGATTGGAAGAGACAATGGAAGGGTGAGATGGTTAATATCACGACAAAACCCGGCTCAGACCAATGTCAAATTCATTGAAGATTTGCTAATGCTCGGTGAAGGAGCAAGGGAGGGATTAGCGCAGTGTTAGCCACACCCCGCTTTTGGGAAAACAAGTGCTGTCTGCTGGTGGATTTCACTTGGAAGAACACCTGATGAGCCCTCTGGAAGTCTGTGTTGAATATGAAGACACCCTTATTTTATCACCAAAACTCACAGAGAAGAATCTGTCTTTTTAGTTAAAATGGAAGCCTCACAAGGACATGAAGTGACAGTGAAGTGCTGTTTTTGCTGCACCCAAAAATAATTTATGTGCACCATTTGTGGTGGTATTATTTATTATAGTCTGAAACTGCTGGTCAGTAGTGAGTTATTGCTCCAGTTTTAGAGACATGATTTATGCATATTAAACTGTTCTTCTGGGGAGAGGTTTTAACAGCTGCCACGTCATGCATTTCCGAAAATTTGGCATTTTCTATTCCTGTGATGGTCTTTTTGGCTTTTGATTTAACTCTGCAGTCACCATCAATATCCAGATTCCTTAGTCAGTGACTGGTATTTTTCTAGCTCCAAGTTTGGGGTTTCTAAATTTTTTTCTCTAGTAAAGACATTTTGTTCAGCTCATATCTGTCTCCTAATATCACATTTCTGGCCTCATCATGACTGGCAAAAGATTCAGGCAGAAAATTGTCTCTGCAAAATAAGTCATGCTGAAAAAAATTAGCTATTGAACTCAATTCTGGCCACATTACAGAAGCAGTGAAATAGTAACAAGCTGAGTGGTCTATTTTTGTTTGTGCCTATTGCATAATTCCTCTATTCAGTGCCACCACTCCCTTTTTTGGAGAGATTTTTAATACTGTGTATAAAGGCTCTCTTTGCCTCTCCGGGGCTGAACTGGAGATGAGAGTGTCTTCCCTATGGAGAGGTCTGTTTCACAGTTCAGCTGTTCTGAATAGATTTACAAACAGTAATACTCTGTGTTTCTGCGTACACAACAGAGATGCTTGGCCTCAACCTGTGACTGACGCAGGTGAATCATACACAGATTGAACATTGTGTTGTTTACTTGAATCTGTATCAGAATATGACTCTAAACATGTGATTCGTGTAATGTCAAACGTTAAAAACATATATTTTCCCTTTTCTGAGCAAACTTGTATATATATTTCTGGACTTTTGTGGTTAATTTTACAGAACTCATTGATGCATTATAACTCAAAGCTCATATTAACATGTTTTTGTCAAAACTGGCCACCTCTAGTAACACAGAAGGAACAGTGGTTTCTAATCTTATGGGTTTTGTTACTGTCAGCATTTTGGTTGTGTTAAATAGTAAGTAGCCTTTGTGTATTTCAGCCAGTCGTTCAAGAAGTTAACATTGAGTTACCTAGCAACCATCAAATGTCACTTATCTCCTGAAATACTCACAATGCACATAGGCACAAAGCTGCTGCTGCAAGTGCTACATCCACAACTATATGCACTGGGTGGGGAGCACAATAGCCAAATCCAGTGGCTACTGTTTCCTTGTAGAAACATGAGCCTCATTTCCAATGGTTCACTTTGGAGCGGATTGGAACAGGCCACATCTATCTCCACTAAACACTAAAGTGACAGTTTGAAGGGTCCTGGTACTGTACGCCGCTAGGTGTAGTTAACGATCAAATGAGATGATTGGACAAGAGAGAAAACAGAGTCTAAAACAAGATGGCAAAAAGCAGAAATAAACATAAAACAATAATATCTCACCAAACACTGACTTGATATTGTAATAAATCACTGTATTTCTAGTTATGGCAAAATGTTGAACCGACATGCTGCCAAAACAAAGCTAGAGCACAGCTTACAGCTGTTTCCTGTTTATGGTTACACACGTCACTCACGTTTAAAAATCAAACATATTAAATTTCCAGGGCATAATGCATCTGACATGAGCCAAACCCAATGCATTACATAAAGAGACATTAAAATGTGGCGCATAGGCGCCGAGAAATGAAATAAATCATCTCGTTTCAAAGCGTCACAATCTTGGAATTACTAAACGTATTTTGGTGAATCACTGAGATTGGTTGTAAATTAAGGGGTATGATTCAGATTCAGTTTAAATTGGATAAATTAAGAGAACAAGAGTTATGTTTGGGTGACATCAGTGTCTCACAGAACAGAGCCCTTCACCTGGATCCAGAGCCCTGCCCCTGGATCCTGAGCCCTGCCTCTGGATCTTGAGCCCTGCCCCTGGGGAATGGAAAACAAGCAGACCCACTCCAAGGCACTCCCAAAGCGAGCCGCTCCAGTGGAAAGAGGCTATAATAGATAGCCCTGTGGATGTACAGTCACTATTGCTCTCTACTTTCTTCTGTTTGTGATATTCAGTATTTTTCCAGCTTATACCAGTGTCACGTTTCATGTCAACAGTGTTCCATTGACATTATTCATTAGCAGCATTGACATTGATTGGGTTATCTCCAGACCAGTCCATGTCTCTGATGTTGTGGACACTCAATTGAATGTTCCTATTGATTACGCTGTTTGTCCCTGGAGCACTTTAGCTATTCAAAATGAACAAAACCTATCCTGTTCTTATGGCTGGACTATTAATCAAATGTGAATCGAAAGCAAGATGAATTCATTTCTAATGTCAGGGATCAACTTAGGTCCTATTAATGGGAAAGTCTACAGCCAGCACTCTGTCAGTCAAATTATGTGGTTTGGAGCAGAGTTCAAACTTGCTCTATGGAGTATTTTGTGGAGTTAGTTAAATGGCAATGATTAAAAGTCTTTTTTATGGTCAGGAAATCAATATAAAATGGAATATTTTTCAGTAAGACAAAACTGTGATAAATCAAAATGAGTAAAAAATATATTTTTTGTCTACCAGCCCTACCTGATTGCCAGCTTTGTTATAGAAAATCTTTCAGGCAAATTGAATTTATTAAAATAACCTAAAAAATATTCTCCTTAACTGTCTATTCTTTTGGTAAGTGACTAATTAAATACACACATTTTTACTCAAATCCAGATAAAATTCCTAATTCAGTCACCTTTATTCAAGATAGTTTTTCCCAATATGTCACTTAGATGGGGTACCATTTAATCCCACCATTATCAACCAATCCTTTTCAAAATGGAAACTGGGCATTGAGTGTTTAGCAGTGTATAGTTAAATGTTTTGGAACAACTCCTGTGCTCCTTGGAGCCCCAAATTCTCCCACAGGCCACCCGCTGCTCTCCCAACAGCCTGACAAAGGAGCTGGCTCAGGGTGCTAGCCCAGGGTGCTGCTGTGTGTGTGTGTTGCATGTTGATGTATTTCCCTACTTCAGCGTTTGTATGCAGCTCTGTGTAATGGCTACACTGTCAGACAAGATACAGTGTCATTTAGACAAATGTTAGTCACACGTTTCAGTAGTTTCAGTTTTTGCTTCAAGTCTCCCAAGTCTTCAGGCTAACCAGATATTGGTGTTTTTTAGATTCTAATGTGATAATGTCAGGGGGCAAAAAAGAGATTTCCCTATTGACTGACATTGTACTTTGCCATGAAATATCCAAAGGGTAAATGCACAAATCTTAAATCTGAACATTTCAATAACTGACTAGGCCCTGGAATTCACTGTATTACATCAAGAATCTACATTTTAATAATATTTATTTTTAGCTTTTAGCTCCCCCCATGTTGAATATTATTGGCTAAGACTGCTCTGATGTCATCTGAAACTCAGCAATTGCTTTTGGGGAAAGTCACATCAGTACAAACAGTTGGGGTGAGCGAACTTCCCAAAAATTTGCAGCCAGATCATGATTTGATTTCGTTACTGTTCATATAAATTTATATCAGTATCTTTTCATTGTCTTAATATGTCTATCTTTTATCTGGTTGTTTATTGCAAATGGTTAAATCCAATGTCACTCACTCAGAACATTGCAGAGGCTAACCAATAAGAGGAGTGGGTGTTTTTGTTTAAGGATATAACTGCATTCAAGAATAACTTGGTGAATCAAGATGTGGCTAGTGATTTGAAATTACATCAGACTAAGTAATAAATACATGATTCAATGGAAACTTTGTAAATGACCCACCCTATTTAACATTTATAATAGCCTGAAGACAGTGAGGTATGAAGACTCAGGATGTAACCATTTATGAGGCTTGACAACTGGCTCTCACTGCAAAATCCTACAGTGCACCTGGTTGGTTCAGTGGTAAGTCATACAGCAGTCACAATTAGAGCAGAAAATATGACAAGACATAAAGTCAAGTGCAGACAGTTATTTAGCTTTTTGCTATTTTATTTTTTCCAGCGACGAAGTAACGCTTCTATAACAGAGTTTCACTACACAAGTTTTATTACATACATTCTGTCTTTCTTTCTGCAAACTAACAGACCACAGTAGCTACTTCAATGAGCGACGAAACATCTTCACTCTA